CCCTAGGGCTGGCCCTCTCATAGCGCTCCTATTGGCTTGGAAGCGTGTGGACGGGAGGGGGTGCGCATCCGAAGCTACCTGGATTTCTGTGCCCTGGCCTCAAAGGATGAATATTTGGAAAGGTGGACGGGTGGAGAATGGGGAGGTTGGACGCAGAAGGTCACCAAGGTTTTCACCTCTCAACAGACACAGCTCAAGGCTCAGAACAGCAGGATCGAGCAACTGTTCCTAAAGGTGGCCCAGCAACAGAGGCATCTGGAGAAGCAGCACCTGAAAATTCAGAATCTGCAGAGCCAGGTGCCCTAAGCCTGTGCCACGTGGGGAGGGAGGATAAAGCTGGACCTGTGCAACCAGGCAGGTCAAGCAGCCTTAGCCAGCCGGACCTGACACCCTCCTCTGTCCTATCCCAGGTTGGCCTCCTGGCCCCCATGGACCGAGGCAATGGGGTGGCCAAGCCTACCAGGAGGAAGAGGCTACCCAAAATGGCTCAACTTGTTAGCCTGGCTCACAATGCCAGTCGGCTGCACAGTGAGTGGTCCTTTGCTGTCCTTTGGCAGCTCCGCCACTCCTCCACCTGCCATTCCTGTCCCCTTCCTTGTCAGGACCACCTTAAGCAGAAGGACAGAGGCCCTGGCTTTGGGTCCCTGTGGACTCACCAGTGTCTGGTGAAGAGCTGATGGGTGCATCTCCCGCCTCAGCTCTGACCCTGCCCAGCCAGGCCACTCCACCCTTCCCCGCAAGCCAGCAGACTTTCCCCAAGTCCAGCTAGCTGCTGACTTGAGCAGGGGCTGCGAAAGAGAGTCCATGAGGTACTTGAGCTGTGGGGGTGCTGGGAGGCAGCAGTACAGCTCAGGGACATTGTCCTGAAGGTTAGAACCTTTTAGAAGGGAGTGATGAACAAGACAGTGCCAGGTAGGGGGGTGCTGAGGCTCCCCACGGTCTCTTGAGGTGTGGATCTATTTTTTTTTTTCCTTTTTGTCTTTTTTTCATGACCGGCAACGGATCGCAACCCTCAGTGTCGCGCCCGTACCGGCCCGGGACCGGCAACGGGATCGCAACCCTCAGTGTTGCTCCCTGCACCTCGCTCAGCCAGTGAGCGGGAACCGGTCTGTATGTGGGATCCGAACCCTCAGCGGGAGCGCCGCTGCGCTTCCCAAGCGGCGCACTGTAGCAGTGCGCCACCGGGCCGGCCCCTTGAGGTGTGGATCTAGAAGGAGCAACTAGGGAAGGGAACCCCCAGTTCTCAGGCCAGAAGCACTCACTCCTGCATCGTACAAACCCAGAGCTCCTGGTCCCTTACCTCTCCCCTCCTGTCCCAATTCCTCATTCTCCCTCCACTTCCTCCCTGCTCCTGCAGAAAGCCAGCACCCCAAGTTCTAGGTCCTTTATGGTGTATGTCCTAAATTTCCCCTAATCTCAGACCGCAGCAAGTCTGTGTGTGTTTGACACAGCCTCCAAGTTCCCACTCTAAGTTCATGGCCCAGCACCCATCTTCCTTGCGGTCCTCCTTCCTTCCCTGTCACTCCATCTGCCTGGCATCTGTGGCTGTCCCAGCCCACTGGGTGAAAGTTCAGATTCCTCCCCTAGCACCCTAGGGCTAGTTGCTGGCTCCCAGCCCTGTAGTCTTGAGGGCTTACTCCTCCCTAAGTTCCTTCTTGTCTTCCCACCTCAACCCCCACCCCAGACCAGTATCTCAATGTGGAGAGGGGCCCGTACACCCTCCCAAGCCACCGTCCTGGAATGAGGGGCTTCCAGAGCCAGCAGGCACAGGTTCTGGGAGGGAGATGTGGTATTAGAGATGGGGTGTGGGTTGGGGACTCCCAGACTCAGGGCTCACCCAGCCAAGTAGGGGAAAGTTCAGAGCTGGGGAGACAACAGCTGGCACTAATGAAAGACACATGGGTGGTTTGGCCGTGTGCCGTGTGCCTGTCTTGATCGGATGGGAGGAAAGTAGGGGAAAGGGGATCTGCCTGAGGGGCTGGAAAGTATGCTCCCGTCACTCTGGGCCTGCTCCCACCCCTGCAGCGCCCACTCACTAGCCTGGTGTCCTCCAAGCCTTTCCTCCTCCTAGCGACCTTTCCCCTACTTTCCTGGCTGGGCTGGGGGCGGGGTTCTTCCCCACGTTCCTCCAGACCTGCTGAACTGTTTTTCCTCCTCCTCCTCTCCCACCCTCCTTCTCTTCTCAATCCTGCCCCCCTCCTCTGACAGCTGGGACCCTGGGCAGAGCCTCTTTCTGCCTTCCCAAACCCCATCCAGTTCCAATCAGCATCCCCCACTAGACAAACCAGAGCCCCTTCTGTTCAACTCAGTCCTTGCCTGTCCCCCAAGCTCTCTGTCATTCATTTATCAAGTCTTTATTGAACACCAGCTGTGGGCTAGGATCAGTGTGGACGTTGGTGTCAGACTGTGGGCAGAGCTGTCCCTTGTCCCTGGCCTCATGGAGCCCCCATTTAGTGGGGGTGGGGAGAGTGGGGGAGAGACCATCGGATGATCCTGGTGTTGTGGGGGGATGGAAAGTCCTCCTTGAAGCCTGTTTTGGGAGGTCTGGCCTGGTCTGGGGGTGAGGGTAGGTATGTCCTTCTAGAAGCTGGGACCCAGAGAGGAGTGAGGGAAGAGAGTCCCAGGCCCAGGGACCAGCATATGCAAAGTCCCTGTGGCAAGAGGGTGTGTAGTACAAAGAAAGTGGTGGGGGATGAGAAGGAAGCCTGGGTGACCAGAGAGGGTGGGAGTGCAGTGTTGGAGGAGGGGGGATGGGTGCAGGGGCTGGTCCTCAGGGTGCCTTGTACACAATGCTGAGGAAGGCCATAGGGAGCCATGGTCGAGCTTAGGCAGATGGAGGGGGTGGATCATAAGATCAGGATTGCCCCTCACTTCTCTGTCACCCAGTGCCCTGCCCCCAGACATGCTGGTTTCCTGAGACCCCAGGATCTGCTCTCCTGCTTCAACTCTCCGCTTTGTCTGTCTGCAGGGCTGCCCCGGGACTGCCAAGAGCTCTTTGAAGAGGGTGAACGGCAGAGTGGACTGTTCCAGATCCAGCCTCAGGGGTCCCCGCCATTCCTGGTCAACTGCAAGATGACTTCAGGTAGGACGTGCTTGCCCACGTGGAGCCCGTTTTCCATGGGTCCTGTTTTCTTTAAATTGCACGCTCTTCCCCATTGAATTCCATTACAAACTCAGAGATGGGGTCCTGTGGTTGAGAACTGCAGGGAGGACCAAGTTCAGTGGTCCCAGAGAGGCTTTGTAGATTTCCACTCTCCCCTCTTTCCCTCCTTCCCTGGGGGGTCCTTTGTCTAGACAAAGATCTAGATTTGATCCTCTTGCCTGTTCACCAGCGCATAATATTCCTCCCTCTGACCCACCTGGTGACCTTGTATCTCTTTGGGCAGATGGAGGCTGGACAGTAATCCAGAGGCGCCAGGATGGCTCTGTGGACTTCAACCGGCCCTGGGAAGCCTACAAGACAGGTTTCGGGGACCCCCAAGGTGGGTGTTTCCAGTGGGACCAGAGACAGGGGAGGAAGAGCAGGCAATGCAGGTTGGCCTCCCTCACCTAGCACTCTCTCCTGCTGTAGGCGAGTTCTGGCTGGGCCTGGAGAAGGTGCACCGCATCACAGGGGACCGTGGCAGCCGCCTGGCCGTGCATCTGCAGGACTGGGATGGCAACGCAGAGTCGCTGCAGTTCCCTTTCCACCTGGGAGGTGAGGACACGGCTTACAGCCTGCAGCTTACGGCACCTGTGGCCAGCAAGCTAGGTGCTGTCACAGTCACGCCAAAAGGCCTCTCCCTGCCCTTCTCTACTTGGGACCAGGACCACGACCTCCGCCGGGACAAGAACTGTGCCAAGAGCCTCTCTGGTGAGTAGCTCTGCCCTACCCCATACTGCCCTGCCCTGCCCACACAGCCAGGGCCTCCCCTCCTTTCCTTTCTCCTGCCCTGTCCTGCCTTCAACCCTCAAGTGCATCTATTCTCTGCCTCCACCTTCTCCTCACTTGCTGGGTGCCCTTGGGCCATTGACTTAACCCCTCCAGCCTCAGTTTTCCCATCTTTAAAATGGGTATAACTATGGTGCTCACTCCATAGGATTGTTATGAAAATACAACGAGACAGTTGTGGGACAGTAGTTGGCACATGGCAAAGCCATCAAGACAAACCCCCATCTTATTCTTAGGAAATTGGAGGCAGAGCTCAGGCTCTGTGAAGTAACACACATGAGATTACATTTTTTTTTTGGCATCTGGCTGGTACAGGAATCCGAAGCCTTGACTTTGGTGTTATCAACACTGCACTCTAACCAATTGAGCTAACCAGCCAGCCATTGAAATTACCTTTTAATGGGTCCAAAAATGATGGCATATTGATCATTTCATACGGTTCAAGCTAATAAAAATTGATGCTAACGGATGACGATCATAGGAAGTCTTTAATAAATATCAGCTGTATGCCAGGCACAGAGAATTTGCCAGGGTCACAGATCCCGAAAGCTGATTTGCTCTGATTATGGGGAAAGGGGTGCCCAGGGGCCCCTGAGACTGCTTTGTCACAACCTGGGATTCCTTGGAACACAGTTTGACAACCACTGCCAAGGTCCTCCCATCTGAAACATATAAAACCCAAATCCCGGGGTCGGCCCGTGGCTCACTCGGTAGAGTGCGGTGCTGATAACACCAAGGCCACGGGTTTGGATCCCATATAGGGTTGGCCGGTTCGCTCACTGGGTGAGCGTGGTGCTGACAACACCAAATCAAGGGTTAAGATCCCCTTACCGGTAAAAAAAAAAAAACCCCAAATCCCAAACTCAGGGTCTGGCTGGTTAGCTCAGGTTAGCCTCAGGATACAGCACAGTGCTGGTTACACCAAGGTCATGGGTTCAGATCCCTGTGCAGGCCACCTGCCAAAAAACAAATAAATATACTAAGTCCTACCTCATCCCCAGCCCTATGCCCATCTTCGTCCCAGCCCCAAAGTGGAAACTCAAAGATCTGACCATGTTCTGTCTCTCTGACTGTGGCAGGTGGCTGGTGGTTTGGCACCTGCAGCCACTCCAACCTCAACGGCCAGTACTTTCGCTCCATCCCACGGCAACGGCAGCAGCGCAAGAAGGGCATCTTCTGGAAGACCTGGAGAGGCCGCTACTACCCACTGCAGGCCACCACCATGCTGATCCAGCCCACAGTGGCTGCAGCAGCCTCCTAGCCACCTTGCTGGGGCCTGTTCCCAGGCTCCTAGAGGACAGTGACTCTGGCTCTGGCCTAGGATGCGGCCGCTCCATGCAGGGGCTCCAAGCAGGAGCCATCTGGAGCCTTGCGGACAGAGAAGAAGCTCATGACTGGAGGGGCCCCCTTTCTGAGTCGGGGCTGCAGGCATTGCTCTTGGAGAGCAGACCCTGGAAGCATGGGATGAGAGACATTGAGTCCCACTCCTCGCCCGCCTGAGGAGTTGGGGGTGCAGAAAGACCAGTTGGGGACGGCCAGGCCGGCCCTCGACAGCGGACTCAGTCACATTGACTGGCTGGGGGACCAGGGCTCCCATGGGCCCCAGGCGCACTACGGTGCCGTTGTGTGTGCTTACTACAGCAGGAGCTGGCGCCAATGGTGGCTGGGAGGAGCTCATGGAATTCTTGGAATAAAAGCAACCTCAGAACATTTCATTCTTCTTTGTCCTTCGGTTTGTTTGAAAAAGTGAACAAGTTCAAAGTTCACATAAACATGTTCCCAGGGTGGAGGGTGACTACACCCAGGTCCTTTAAGGACAAATCTGGTTATTCCTCCCACCTCTGACAACTGATTTCTTTGTTGTTGTTGTTTTTTGGTGGTTGATTGGTACAGGGAGCCAAACCCTTGACCTTGGTGTTATGACACCATGCTATAATCAGTTGAGCAAACCGGTTAGCCCTAACAACTGATTTCTTTTTTTTTTTTTCCTTTTTGTCTTTTTTTTTTTTAAAAGATGACCGGTAAGGGGATCTTAACCCTTGACTTGGTTTTGTCAGCACCATGCTCAGCCCAGTGAGTGAACCGGCCATCCCTATATGGGATCCGAACCCAGGGCCTTGGTGTTATCAGCACCGCACTCTCCCGAGTGAGCCACGAGCCGGTCCAACTGGTCATCTTTTTAAAAAAAATAAATAAATAAAAATAAATTGACCTTTTTTGTATGTCTGGGTAATATAAAGTCAACCAATATTTATCGAGCACTACTACATACCAAGCCCTGTATCAGGTGCTTGGGATACTCTAGTGAACAAAAAGATCACCGCCCTCACTGAGATGACCTTCAAAGCCCCACCCATCACAGAAAGGGTGACCTATAATTGATGATCCAAACTGGGACACTTTCGTGAAATGGAGTGCTGTTAATTATTAAGCTGGTAACAGATGTAAACCACCTCACCCCTAGACATATTGGGACTTATTGACCCAGTATTTTTTTTTTTTCCTTTTTGTCTTTTTTCGTGACTGGCAACGGGATCGCAACACTCTGTGTCGCGCCGGCACCACGCGTAATAACTTCGTATAGCCGGCACCACGCTCAACCAGTGAGCGGGAACCGGTCTCCACATGGGATCCGAACCCTTGGCGGGATGGTACCACGCTCAACCAGTGAGCGGGAACCGGTCTCCACATGGGATCCAAACCCTTGGCGGGAGGGCCGCCGCGCTCCCAAGCGCCGCACTCTACTGAGTGCGCCGCTGGGCGGACCCTTGACCCAGTTTTTAAAAATGTACAAATATCTCTATCACATCTGGAAAAGCAGTATTACCTGCCATAAATAAAGTTAATGAAAATAAAGCAATGCTGGTGCTTTAAAATTCTAGTTAGAAAACTGATCTAGGGTTGGGGGCGGGGGGTGGAATTGGAATAGAGGCTGCCTGTGTTAGGATAGGGTGGGGATTGACATAGGGAAGGGGCATGAGGGAACTTTCCGGAGTGCCCATGACATTCTGAACCTTGATACAGGTGGGTTACTCTGCTGTATGCCTTTGGCACTACTAATGTACATTTAAATTTTGTGTTTCATTGCATGTAAATTTTACCTCGAACTTTGGTTAATGACATGCATGCTGGAGTGTATAGAGGTGAAGTGGGCTGCTGTCTTCAATTTTCTTCAAAATGCACCAAAAAATAAGATGACAGACAGGCATGAAATAGGAGGTGGTTAATCCCCCCGGAATTGGGTTTCGGGCCATTCCCCCATGTCTCAAATCACTCTCCTAGGACTCAAGCCCCACCTCTGAGTCCTAAGCTATGGTGGCCTGTAGCAGCTATTTTTGGCACCAGCAGGTGGAGATTGAGACAGCAGGGGGCAGATTTATGTAAGCTCACTGGCCGAGCATGCTTAGTAAAAATTTTATCTCTTAAAATGACCTCCCACCAGAGGTGGTAGAGAGCACGGAGAATATATTTGAATATATTTGGTGCATGTGATGGAATTTGACCAATGAGCATGCTCCAAAGAGATCAACTGAGCATGTGCAAGACTAGGTTACATAACTGGGAACCTTTCCCTTAGTTGAATATTCATTAGATATCATGAATATGTATATATAGTCCAAACTATAAAAGTTTAATCCAGGGAGAAGGCGGAGCTATTGCTCTCTTTTTGGAACCAGACCACACTTCGCCTTTGAGGTGTGTATTTCTTACTTTTTGTGTTAAACTTGCCTTCAGCAGGCTACTCTTCACTCTGGAACCAGTCACACTTTGTAGAATGTGTATTTCTTACTTTTGCATTAAACTTGCTGTGAGCTAGAGTTAGGCCACACTTTTTGAAGTCTGTATATTTCTTATTCTTTACATTAAACCTGTTCTTACTATCTACTGTGACTCTGCTCTTGAATTCTTCCCTGTGGTGGAGTCAAGAACCTGGTAGAGGACAGGGTAGGTTGAGCTCAGCCATCAGATCTCCCCCAAACCTTCTCCTCTGGTATCAGGCAGTCAGAAAGATAGATATGTGATAAAGCAAAATGCCAATGGTGCAGTGTCAGTGGTGGAGATATGGATATTCTCTGTACAGTCTTTCCATTTGTTGTATGTTTAAATTTTTTTCATAGGGCTGGTTGGTTAAAAACATCCATACTATGTTACCTTCTGAAGGTTCTAAACTTGTATCTGCACTCTATTAAAAAGGGAGATGAAGCGGGCCGGCTCGTGGCTCACTCGGGAGAGTGCGGTGCTGATAACACCAAGGCCCCGGGTTCGGATCCCATATAGGGATGGCCGGTCAGCTCACTGGGTGAGCATGGTGCTGACAACACCAAGTCAAGGGTAAAGATCCCCTTACCGGTCATCTTTAAAAAAAAAAAAAAAAAGGGAGATGAAATTTGAAAAGTGTTAAGGAGATATGATCAAGAGAGAGAGTGAGTCTCACTCCTTAATAGGCAATAAAGGATTTCAGGAACTGAAAAGTTAGGACTTTCCCAATATGTGCTTCCACGTTATTTAATGCACTACCTAAAATGATCAACACTATCACCTGTGATAGGCTTCCCAAACTTTGAGAAGCTTGTACTAATGACATGGTCCGTCTCCAGGACAGATATTTGGGAAAAACAACACCTGCGCATTCCTGAGCCCCAGCTACCGGTTTGTTTTCTTGTTTTGTTTTGGTGACTGGTAGGTTCAGAGACCTGAACCCTTGGCCTTATAACAACATGCTCTAACCAACTGAGCTAACCAGCCAGCACCCCCCGCTGCTGCTTTAACAGCAGAACCTATCTTTGCCCCAAGATCCCCCTCCAAATATTCCTCACCTCTTTGTTTAAACTCGTCTCTAGCCCCATGGGCTGCACTCTCCAGCGACCATGGCCTCCTGGCTGTTCTGACCCTTCGGGGTCTCTCTCACTTTCTTAACTGTAGTGATCATTTCATTATGTATATGTATAGGAAAATAGCATATTATACACCTTAAATATATAAAATAAAAACAAATACATACTATGTCAGGTAGTGATAAATCCTATAGGGGGTGGATAAAACAGGGTAAAGGATCAAAGAAAGGGAGAAGGTCATTTTGGAGAGCGCCTGGCGCCCAGTAAGAATTAATAAATATTTGTTCGACAAAGACTTGATGGCAGAAAGTGGACGGTTGATTCAGTGTGTTTAAAGAAATGATCTACTTATCTTCAAAAGATTCCGTAATGAGGGTTTCTTCTCCGTTTAAAGAGGAGGAAACTGAGGCACAGGGGGGTAATATAGATTCACCAATGCAGAAATGAAAACTGCAACCGAGCAGAGAGCCATTGCACAGGCCCCCGGAAATGGTCATTTATGGGCTGGGGTGAGAGGCCGGAGCTGCGCGCACGGACCTATGACGTCATCGGGACGTTAAGTAGCGTAACAACACCTGGACGTAGCCCCATTTCCCTTCCCGGACAGATCCCAGAGTTAGGCTCCGAATTAAGCCTCTCATTGGCTAGGCACTCCGTCAATCCGTTTTGTTCTCGTACTATTCCGCCTCGTCCTCCTGAGCCCGCTTCTGATAGGCTGTCGCAGCCGTCACTTCAGAAAGGTCCGCATTCCTTCCGCCTTTCTCCGGGAGACTGACGGCGAAGAGGGTGGATCGCAAATAGCGCCCACCCCCGGGGCTCTACTTCCGTCTCTGATTGGCTGGCCTGGGTGCCGGTCACTACCCCACCCGTCGCTGATTGGCAATCCAACCGCCGCTCGGCACGGCGCCGGCTCCGCCCCCGTCGGGTGTTTGTGGTGGGGCTGC